CTCTAGGATGATGCGAATCAGTATTTTACTTGGCGTGGACAAGGGCATGGTTCCACACAGTTTCTCCAAGAGGCCTAAGTTGCCCTTCTTCGGTAGTTTGACAAGGTAGCTGGCCTTTCTTCTAATCAGGATGCACCTTTCCTCCACCCTAAACCTTCTGCAACAACGGCGTGAGAATATCCACTGCGGTCTCTGGAGCCGCTTTCAGTACTTCAGAAGGAATTCCGTCTGTTATTGCCGACTCTCTGGCCTTGATCAGCTTGACTGCATTCAAGACTCTTGCTTTTGTTGGAGGACTGGTGTTTACTGATAGTTCTGTGCGTGCTGTTGATGGTATTTTCAGACGAGTTGCAGGTGGTGGTCGAATCAAAAGTCCTTCCTCTCCCCCTTGGCAATTAGGTTCCATTGATCATCTTGTATGTGTTTCATCTGCGTTGGTATCTTCTCGGATAGAGATCTGTTTATCTTATGTAATGTCCTGGTGTCCCTTTTACCTGCAGTCTGTTATGCTTCAGTTGCCAGTGTATCTTTGAATTTTATGATAAGTAGGAGAGCGTGGAATACTGGTGTTTCAGTGTGCACATCTTCACGAATCAAAAGTGCTAAATTAAATTATTTTATGGCGGTTTAATTGCGAAGCTCTCATTGTCCTCCTACACAACATATCCAGCGCTTATATCAATAAACGTATTCACTTTGGAATTAAACGCTTGCATAATTCCAAGTTCCATTCGTACAAAACATACATAAACATAGCTAGAAACTGTTAACAATATAAATGCAAGTGTATTTTCACGGTAGATTTGAAATGCAATTTGGAACATTTACCATTGATCTCCTTCATAAATACAACAGATGTTTGACGCAATAAAAACAACAACATTTGTGGGCATAAGGCACAATAATTTAATTCACTACTAATGAATACTATGTACTCTGGATTTCTACACCATATAAGTCCTGTCATATGGGTGAGTGAATAAACTTGAAGCTTTTTTACGACTGAATGCTGATACAAACGTCATGGTTGACTTCACTCTTAGATCGAGATGTGTTTACGACTGGCGATTTATGTGCAGACAAATACTGATTCTGATATCAAAGTCTTGTGATCCCAACTTATTTTAGATTCGTATCAAAAATAATAATAGGAGATATGTCGTGAGTACTATGTCTACCTGAAGAGGAATATTATGAGTTAAGACAACTACCTTCACCAACCAAATTTCTAGACATTTTATAAAGGCAAAAAAGCAATAGTGAAACATTTCAATGAGAGAATACTCAGAAATAAAAAAGGGCTAGGAGTCAACGCAGAAGCAGTTAACAACACAAATCAACATCGGCTAGTTGATTCACAACACTAATCGAGATGTGGTGAGAGCAGGCTGCTGGCCAATTGGTAGACATTAATTTACGTCTATGTCTATGTCGCTAATATTGGTCGTGAGAAAATATGAACAAGACTGATTCAACAACCAATTACAGCAGACTTGGCGTATAGATTATCTGACATTCAAGAAACAGTCAAAAAGAGATGCAAAGTCAACTTTCTGTAAGAAACAACCAATCAGAAGACTGTATTTGTCTGCTTGAATAAGCTATAATAATGTACATGAAATATATATAAATACGTGTCCATTTCCTTAATAAACGATCTGTTGCCTGACTCTTGGCTTCTGTTGTTACAAAGATAATATGTTTGTGACAATGTAGCCTATCACTACGAAAATCCTTGCTGATATGAAAATCAAATCAAATTGGCCAACTAACCAATTCATTGAATAATTTTTCGTCTATTGAAAGTGCGAGTTCAGCTCTGTATAATTAAAGCAATTCGTATCATCAAGCAGACATCTTCAAAACACATGTACCTAGTGGAATTCCTAGGCGTTTTTTTACATTCGCATCGTTTATAATTCTAGTCAATCTTTAGGACACACTTCATTCGTAAAATACTATTATGAACACAGTAACTACGGAAGTAACATGAACAGGACGCTGTATTATGACACGTCGAATGTCGTATTTCTTCTGGGCAGATTCATTTATAGATTGTCAAAAGTAGATTTTTATGGAGCACAGGCTAAAAGTGATTCATACGTATTGAAGAGAATTTGTAAGAAATCATTGCTGATGTCACAAAAAGTGTGAAACCTGCTCGCAAATATCCTATGTACAGCAAAACACAAGTGAGTGTTAAGAATAGTTTGTATTTCTGCTTTTCCACACCAGCTATGAAACTGGTAACCTGTGAGCAAAAGAAATGAGACAAACAAATTGAGGAAGAAACAATAACAAATAACGAGTAAACAACCAAGCAGATTAAAGCTCTCAGATAACTAGGATAATCATAATCAGTCATGGTAATTCTTCCTAATCACTCGTTCAACAACAGAGTAATTGAATAAAATGAAAAGATATTTCAGTCAACACACTGTTTCAACTTTCCTGTGCAAGAAACATAAAATGTCACAGTTAGGGGAGGGAGGGGAGAACAACGAATAAGTACTACAAGGAAAACAAACAGACGATATAATTCAACAAATAAGCACAGCATCACCGAGACATTATTTAAAGCATAATCCAGTTAGTAACTCGATCAACTTTTAGAGAGCAATAAAATAAATTAGAAATCAATCAAAATTTAATGCAAAGAAAAACAAAAAAATTTACATACACAGACGCCTTTCCATTTTCAAAGCGCGTCTAGGTTTCTCAAAGTGCAGAAAGGAGAATAATTACTGTGATCATTGGTATATAGACTAAAAACATCATAAACTTTCGGAACTAATTGATAACTGATCGATTATACATATTCTCATACAAGAACAGATAGAAAAAGTTTTTAACCTAGCAACAATGAATGCTAGTGCAATAATACATTTGACCAATAAAGAAAATTCTCTAATGAGAACTAGCTAGGAGGGTGAGGGGAGGAAGGAACACAGAGGTCAGAATAGATATAGGAGTATTAAGATTGTTTTCATTGTACTGGAAGCATCCATCAGGGATAATATTACACTATAAAAATGAAAATCAAAAAAACAAAAAAAAAACAGATAAATAATAAATAGTTCAGGAAGTTTCAGTAGGCGAGACTATAATTTAATCATGCTTAATTTCTGTTCTAAAAATACATAAGATTTCGCCTGTCAGATTTCTGAGAACATTCACAAAAAACATAATTAATTCATGCACAGTTGTTGTTGTTGCTGTTACAGAAACGAACATTATACAATGTCAAAGCATAGATAATATTAAGTACATTTTCAAGTGAAATTGAAAACTCTTCAAAGTACATAAATAATAATAATAATATCAATAATAATAATAATAATAATAATAATAATAATAAGTAGTCAATTACGACATTCCAGGTACACAGTGATTAGCAGAATAAATAACAAATACAGAATAAAGAGAGTAAAAAAAAGTTTCAAATTAAACATAAGTCAACTGACTTTAGACCATGATAAGTCAGTCAACGTGAACTTCTGGATCAATGAAGAAACAGGAAGCAAAGAAAGAGTGAGACAAAGTTGTGCGAAATGAAATGTGACAAAGACAGTAATAATAATAATACCGAAACAGACCAGAAGGGATTAGAACGGAAACGACAACAAATATTAACGATAAGTAACATACGGTGATTAAATAACTACGAAAGGCGTGAAAGACATACTTATTCTATGCAAAAAGCATTGAGTGTGTGTAAATAAACAAGTGTGAAGCATAGCGACAGTGAGATTGGCAAAAGAAAACAACAATGAACAGAATCACGAACAAATAAAGCACACATACACACACACACGCTAAATTTGTCAAAAAGCTGGATAGACACAGGTAAAAATGACTAGCGAATCATATACATGCAAACACAGATTTAAACATAAAGGAAGAAAATCCCAGAAAAAAGAAAAGCATCACAGTTGGTCACAGATAATACAAGTATGCAGTTTATATATATATATATATATATATATATATGCTGAAGAAAATAATTTTTTGTATACATTTTATTATTTTCAGGAAGAAAAAGAAGAAAACCCAGATAGATTATGGTTACGACGTGAAGCATGATATAAGGTTTGTGTGGAAGAGTATTCATACCTGTGAGGTTTGATATAGAGTAGATTGAGAATAAAGAAGAAATAAGGATAGATAAAACAGTAGTGAACTGTAAAATTATGCAAAATGCGTATGAACTGAAACACAACGTGTTGTGTGTTTTTCATATTCAGCATCATATATGATGCTGAGCCTTATAAAACAATCTGAAGAGAAAATCTCATTAAAATAGACATACACATATTATAGTAATAACACAATGAAATTGTATGCTGACATAACTTTCTTTTACGGAATCCAAACAGCACCATTTTGCCTTCTTTGTAGATTATAGTGTAGTAGTAGGTGTATGTGTGTGTATGTGTCAAATCATTCTTTCTATCTCAGTTGGAAAGGTATAAATTAACAGTTGAGTTAAAGAGGTGGAATGTCAGATGTTAAATCCCACATTTTAAGAAATAAGCAGAATAGATAAAACAGTAAATAAACAGAGATGTACGGAACGGGGAGGAGGAGGATACAAGCCAACTGGTAGAAATCACGCATAATATTTCAACCGCCAGTTTTTTTTTAACAGGTTAACAGAGAGATATATCAACCTTTCAACTATCTTTCCAATCACGAAACAAGGAACTGAGAACAACAAAAAAAACTAATTTGCATATGAACAAATATGAGCAAAGGATTTGGTGTAAGCATAGAAGGAAAGAAAACAAATCAAATCTTATTTGAAAAACCAGATACACCTGATTCTTTGACTTGTCGTGTTCTTTTAAAATGTCACCCGAAAATCAAAAGAAGAGTGGACAAATAAAGGACACGAATTTCTAAGATATGATTGCATATTAAAGTGAGAAAGGATCTTTAGTATATGTATACACAATTTCCCAATTATATTTTCGTTTTGATTTGAACGTTACTTTTTGACCTTAAAGTGGATAGTTAAAACTAGCTGATCCACTGGAATTAATATTTGTGAAACCCCCACCACCTGAAGATCCTGATAAACATGACCGATGCACATGAACATTCTGCCAACCCCGATCATTACGCCTAACCCAAACACGTGTCTCTTCAGTTTGTTGTGTGTGCGGCATACCACATCTAAAGGATACAATAGGTTTATCGAAAAAAATGTGTGAATTAAAAAGACGTGAGGGAGGAAATTCATAGTTGACTGAAAAACTGCTTATTGTTTATAATGAATGCCATTTGGATAACGCCAAAAATCCACTTACTTATCTAGAAACTGAGTGAGTCTTGTGTAAGCGATACAAGCAGCATCTTCACCCATCAAATGTACAGTCGGATTGAGTATACTGGTATGAATAGCACGAACAACTGACTTCGGAATGACTACAATGAGAAGAGAAAATGGATAAGAGATATGCAGTAGTAAGAAATCATTTTGCTGGAAAACATAACTTGAAAAGTTACCATAAATACCTGTGATGCTAAAAATTGGAATTCAGAACTCTACAGCTGAAACTAGTCCATTAACACAGAGGTGCCAAATAACCGATATGAAAAAAAGATGTGGGAAAGACGAAGTTTGAAAGGCATCAGTTAGTAGTTATTACAAACTCTAGGAATATCAGGATTTTGTAAGCAACAGTTTACACGATTCCATTATCCAATTCACACATGATTTATGTAATAAGCGACTTCTTCGGTAGGCAAGAGTAGTCATCTTGTAAGAAGGGAAAACTTGATACAGAACACCAATCAAAAGCAGAAAATAAGTCAAACTGTGTTGCATGAATTTAAGTATTAACAATCAAACTAATAAAAAACTGGTCTTCATTATGTATATTTTAATAGCGATGTTTTCGTCAAAATTATATATATATATATATGGCAGCGTATTTTGAATAGATTTTGATGTCTAGGACATATGAGCAGGTAAAGTAATATCGATTAACGCGTCTAAGAGCGAGATACAGATTTCGATAACATTGATGTCATTCATCACTATTAAAAGTCAGTCATGTTTAGCGATTCGTAGAGCAGAAAAAAGATACACGGAAATGGTATGAATAAATGAATGAATGCCTCTATGTAACCTCACTAAGGTAATCCATATGTAACAGAATCAATGATGCGTACACACAAACAAAATATGATAAATGTTAACAAGGTTTAGAGGAAAGCAGTAAACAAATAATATGAACATTAGAAAAAAATAATGTGAGATGGAAAATCAATAGTATATCATCTGGTAGGAAGCATGAAGTAATGAAAATGAGCATGGAATAGGGAAATTTGTTAAAACAGCTACAATTTTGCAGCAAATATAAAAACAAATCTGAAGCCTCAATAAACTGAGACTACATATTTCAATAAAAAACACGAGTGCATCTATGCAGTTGGATTTATCGATGTTTACATCTCACTCACCTCTGATGTTGGATCAGGAGAAACTGTAGGCCAATTGAACTGCTCTATAAAATGTTCTAACTAACGTTTTAATCGTTGCTAACATTTCATCGTGCTTTTAGGCCTTTTCGCTTACTTATTCAATTTACAAAGGTGTTCTCCTGATGAGACTAAACGGCTAATGAGTATTTTATGATTCTGATGTCTTTCCCCTTCCTTACGCCACCGTTGCTTTCAGCTTTCTTCTGAACATATTTCGCTGCTTGCCCTTTTCGAAACTCGTCGAGATTAGTCTTTCTGAATTAACTAATTTGGATGAAGTGGAGAAATATATTGTATTTTACTAACCTTTGGTTGCAGGCTGTGAACTGTTTGCACTACTGTTTCTCTAACAGGTCGGTTGTGGTGTCAGGTTTCCTTAGTATTACTGCTGCTGTTACAGATAAATATTTAGTTATTTAATCCCGAGATACAGAATTCATATTCTAATCGACCAGTATTAGCTAACTTATCAAGACGACAGATAGTTTCATCATCAATTTTGAGATACACAATCATTCTAAATTATGAATTAAAGACAGTGATACTTCTTGTTCATTTCCGATTTCACGTCAACTTAAGGAAAACTCACGTTTTCGACACATTCGTTTAGCTTTTACGAAGCACTTTTAAGAGAAAATAAGAATGAACCATCTGTTATGCCAAGGCATACTTGTACTGAACTAATTCACTCTATACTCCTAAAAACGTTTAGTACATAGATTCGTCTTGGAGTATTAATTTGGACTTCACAAATCAACGTACAACTGTACTAATACGTGCATTAACCCAAGCTCTTAAACTTAAAAAAACCATGCATAAGCCGTTAACATGAAAAGTAGTAAGAGCTGACATTACTAAGTTAGATGGTAAGCTAGTCTCGTAGACTGAAGGCCCTAGATTCAATGTTGGTGGGCGCATAGGTGCAGACTCCTGAGAAGTGTGCAATAAGATCAAACAGCTACCCAGTGCAACGTGGTTTGCAACGGTTCTCTAAATGCTTTCGGTTCACGAGGAAATCTACCTTAAAACAATTCGAATCCATACGACCCTAAACTTAAAAATTAAGCTTCTGCTAAATAATTGAAACAGTATACTGGTGGTCTTAGTGCACAACAGGGATTACTTGGAGGAACATAAAATAAACCTGAGTTTGTGAAAATAACCTTGCGAATTCGGAGACGAATATATTCATCTTACGGTAACATAGAATACAGGATTCCTCAATATTTTACGCTGGGATCGTTTTAAGCTATGGGGAGTCCCTGATGATCACTTCATCATTCAGTATTTAAGCCTACCACTATTATTTACCTTGGTAGTTTAATAGAAATGAACCACACAGAAAACTATAAGTTGCGTGGTAACTAAAATTTTGAGAATGATAAGACGACTTGAAATCATTGTGACACATACGGTGTTTATGTGCAAATTTATTGTGCGATCGATAGTTTGCATAAAAGTATTTTAAAAAATGTAAAGAAAAACAAAGTAAAAATGAAAACTTTATGTAAATACACATTGAATTACAAGAATACACTTACTCTGTTCAAAATAAAACTTATGGAAATCTGCACCTTCAAGTAAATTCCCACAGGCTTCAGGACCAAAATAGGTAAACTGGGAATCCAAATATTTACTACGCAAAATGTGACAAAAGATTAAAGAGTTGAAAGTTTGAGTTAATGACAATCACCACAGGGAGAAAAAGATGTAAACAGATTGTGATGGGTATAAGATTGTTAATATACAGTATTTGGTATATACTTGTAATCCAATCTCAACTTGCTGACGCTCTCAGCTGATTTTTAATGTACTACTTTTCAATTTTAAGCTTGTAGTTCACAGAACATAAACATATAAACAAAATATACCACATGGCATACATGTATTGCGATGTACACTTTTTACAGTCAAAGAAGTTTTATAATTCGTCAAGCTTGCTGAGGCGAACGCAAAGATTTTCTTCTTCAAGAATTGTCTCGAGAAACATGAATATCCCAAAGTGTTTTGGAAGCATCTCAGACGAAATCACATATCCCCTAACTCACGTACACTGAAACGACACACTCTGAATCACATCGATGCAGTGAGATCAAGACTACCTGAGCTAGAACAGAATATCTCAAAAAGCTCCCACGTCCTCTATGAGTTATCTGAAGACGAGAGAACATCATTCGAAAACTACTCCAATACGGTTACAAAGAAAAGAGCAGATGATGTTATAATGAAACTAAACCAAAGCCTAAAGTCCGTTACAAAAGAAACCGTCTTTCCTACTTGTCCAGAAAAATACGTCTACAATTATTCCGATGTTCCACTATCTCCAATTCAAATGCAAATTCTAGCACTTGGACCTAAATTTTGTGATGCAACGTCAAAAGTGAATGAACTGAACACGAAAGTGCAATTTGAGAATTTAATAGACCAGACGAAAGATCTGGCCCCAACCTCATATGAGAATGCAGAACTTTTCAAATCAACCGTTTTAAATTGCTGCCTCGATTACATCAACAAAAAACCCAGCCTTCGTAACGTACTTTCCAAAGAACATCGAAAGCAGCTGAAAGAACTGAAGGACAATGAAAACTTGATCATCACACGACCAGATAAAGGTTCCGGAATCGTCTTGATGAACAAATCAGACTACCTAAGCAAACTCTCGGTCATACTATCTGATGATAAAAAGTTTCAGAAACAGTCTCCACAGAAAGATCCCACCGAACAGACGGAGCTCCAGCTAACAAAGATATTGAAGAAAATGAAAGACGAATCCATTATCAGTCCAAAACTATATGAACAACTGCGCCCATCTGGTTCTACAACACCGCGCACGTATGGCTTACCTAAAGTACACAAACAAAACGTCCCACTCCGCCCAATACTAGATATGATTGATTCCCCATATCATGCAATCGCAAAATGGCTGGTGGAAATTCTCGGGCCGGTGAAAGAAAAGCTGTCAAGACACAACCTCCGTGACACATTCGACTTTGTTGATTCAATTAAGAATGTCAATGTAGCAAAAAAAATGGTCTCCCTGGATGTCGTGTCTCTCTTCACCAACGTTCCACTGACAGAAACCGTATGTTTCCTTTGTGATTACATTCAATCCAATAGCATTGATGTCGGTATACCGATCCATTACCTGAAAGAACTGTTACTTCGATGCACCTTCAACGTATACTTTAGTTTCAACAAGGAAATATACAGGCAAGTAGATGGAGTAGCAATGGGTTCTCCCTTGGGACCCCTCCTAGCCGATTGCTTTATGGCTAGCTTAGAGAACAACGCCTTATCACCGACTATCAACGACCTCCATCTCTACAAAAGATACATCGATGATACTTTCATTATTTGTGATGAGAACTGTGATGTAGAAAAACTACTTCAAATCTTCAATAATGCCCACCCAAACATCGACTTTACACTTGAGACTGAATCCGACGGAATGTTCCACTTCCTCGACGTCCATCTGACAAGAAACGCCGACAACTCTCTGAAAAGGTCCATATACAAAAAGCCTACATGGAATGGACAATTCATCAACTTTCAAAGCTTCGTGCCCCTGAGTAGAAAGAGGAACCTGATATACGCTCTTTCCTCGAGGATTAGGAAGATATGCAGCGAGGAAGTGGTTGAAGAAGAACTGCGTAATCTTCGAAAAACCCTGATGGAAAACGGTTTCCCGCCAAGATTCATAGACAAGAATCTCAAATGTAAGAAGACTTCCGAACAAGTCCATTCCGTTCCAAAGAAAATACTTCTGCTTAATCTAGAATTCAAAGGTGATATTGAAGCAGAAATCCTTCGCAAACGCCTCTCCAAATCGCTAAGGAAAACATACTTCGCCGCGAGCCTACGACTGACGTTTTCCTGCAAGAAACTGTTCAGCCAGAACGCGAAAGACAAGCTGTCGCATTGGGCCACCTCAACGTGCATATACCAGTTTACTTGCTCTTGTGGAGCTGAGTACGTTGGCCGTACCATGCGCCGACTTGAAAAACGCGCTCGTGAACACTACCCAGCCTGGTTAGTAAAAGGAAACCAAAAGCGTGTATACAGTTCAGTGACAGAACATCTGGTCAATTCAGGACATTCAGCACCTTTCGAAAAATCCTTCAAAATAGTATACAAGATTCAATCAAACCTATCAAAGGGAGTCAAATCAAGACATCTGGGCATAGCCGAAGCGCTAGCTATACAAAAGCTCAAACCCACCCTTTGTATCCAAAAGAAATACGTCCAACCCCTGTCCCTGCCATGGCCATCATAAACAGGTAATTTTTTAGTAATGACCATCCCATCGCCTTTCTTACCTAAACTTCCTGTTTATTCTTGTTATTTTAAGTTTTTCTTAATCCCTGTTTACACTACCATATTTTCATACCCGAACTTCGTGTTTATTTTGTCATTTTACTATTTCCACACATTTAATCCCTGATTGCATAAACAATTATTCATCACATTAGTTCTTATCCAAACATCCTGTCTATTTTGTTATTTCTACATTTCTAACCCCTAATTGCACAATGTCAATCTTCTTAGCTATCATGATGCTACTTTGTTTGTTTTATCCATCCCCCTGTTTATTATGGCATTCTAATTCCTAATTTTAATTTTTACTAATTTGACCCTTGACCGGATATTATTCTGGAACTTTCCTATCCATTTGATATAAATACACGAATGTACAGCCAAGATGATGACTTCGTCGAAAAGAAAATTTTCTTCGCTGCAATTGTCTTCATTAAAATATAGACATGATTCAGTGTTTTATGGAATATGAACTTCAATGTTGTAGCTGCAAAAAGTTGTTTAACTACAGGGCATAAAATTCGATAACAATACCGTATAACATTTAAGAATATGTAAGTACATGGACTTAATATTTAAACAGTAGAGTGATCGACAACAGCCAGTTAAACATGGTTTTTACCGTGAATGAACCACACTCAGTGAAAAATTATTGCTCGCAGATAATGTATAGTTTTTCTACATTCAGTATGCATACTGAAAGGCACTATATTATTGGAATGATCCTGTTTCAACAGGTGTGTACACTAAAAGATTGCCATCATATGAATACTATAGGCAGAAGTATACTTATTTACAAAACATCACTTACAGGTAAAGTTCGAAATCTCCGGCAGCTGCAGCAGCCAACAACTGTTCTGTCGCCCGAATAATATCTTGTTTTTTGCCTGCGCGAAACAAGTAAGAGAGAAAATCGGATGGGACAAATCATTTAAAGACTTCAAATCCTCACAATTTTGTGTTGATTCAATATTGTTATTTTTCTTCTTTCAAACAGTCATGTCACGCAGACAGTTGCACATACCAGAAAAGATATTTTTCTTTAGAACAGTAAAACTGAGACAACAAGGACTTATTACTAGGCAAAATCTATAACTGTGAAAATATAAATTTGTGGGTAAACACTAATATATTTATTGTAAAAATATTTTGGTTGGCAATTTATACAGTTCATAACTGTGCCGAATAAAAAAATACGATAAATCCATAATATTTTGATCATTTGAGTCTGATTGATGATACATTCATCAATCAAGCGGCCTTACACTCATATCCACCTATATATATATATATATATATATATATATATATATATATATAAAGGGACGCTATTAATTAAATGCAAAGAATTCCGCTATAACACTGAAATAAACATTTGGAAAATAAAACGATTGCAACAGAGTCATGCATAACTCTTGTGAACAAAGAATTATCTATATACACATATCATCATACTGGAAAGTGATCATATTACTAAGAAAAGAAGGCTATGTTTCTTCACTTGGACGGAGAAAAATTTCACTTTTACATATAAAATAACCAATTTACATTGGATGTCATAATATACATACTGTAAAAATTAAGCAACTATATGAAATTTATTAAGGTGAATATGCAATAAAACGACAACTGAAAAACTAACTATGCCGTAAACAAAAGTTAGATAGATAAAAGAACTAATAACATATCTAAAAGGTGCAAGAAAACAAATGCAAAATAGTGCAGTTACTATTCACTTATTTATAAGTAATGTGTATCCGGAAGGTAATTGGATTATTAACGACAAAGTAAAGTAGAGAAGTTCACTGGAACAATAAAACTATACCATGCATATAACATTACACAAAAAGTTTAACTAATTTGTGCATGATAGGCGGAAAGTTGAGAACTCTACAGGTGACTACTCTGAGGTGCATCAGTGAAAGGAAGAATACGTAAGAAAACAGAAACAAAAATTCAAGGCGGAAGAGGTATTATGATAAATGAAAACTACATGCCACTGTGAAATGACAGTCCTTTGTATAACATGCCTTTTTTAGGGGACTATTCTAATTTCTAATTAATTTTATTTATAGCACATAAATGAATGGGTGAGAGTTTCATCAAAATATTAACTAAAAGCATATGAAATGAAACACTACACAGAGAAATTTAGCATAGACGTATAAGATCAGTGCCATAATGAAGTGAAGAATTAAATTACAAAAACTAAAATTCGATATCGACAAAAGATACGTAACATGAGGCATTACAGCAGTTTATCTCTTCACTGTAACGGAATTGAAGTAGATTCAAACCTGTTTAAATATTATACAAAAAAAACTGAAGATATGCCCACTAGCTATAGAAAATCAGACATTCTAACGAAAAGATACGTACAAGTGGAATAAGTGAAAGGAATACAATTACCCATACGTTTAAACATAAGAGCCATTACTTATTACAGTATTGAGAACTACTGGAATAGTTTCAGTTTAATTTGAAAACTAGCAGTGGTAGTAGGGTCAGAAAACTAGCATACATTCAAACTTGAAGGAAAAATAAGACGGAACACCTTCAATATATATATATATATATATATATATATATATATATATATACATGAGAATTCTGTACATGTTTATTTACTTGAAGCCTTTGACCAATGTCCTAATGCGACCGTGTTTTTTAAAATTGAGATACTCTTCATTCTCTGTATTCTCAACATAACTTCCACGTGTTAACATTCTTGAAGTTTACTGTTACATGAGCAATAATTAAATAGCAGGTAAAATATATGTATCGATGTGAATAAAACTTTATTTATTGTAAGACAACCTGCACGAATGAATCAAATACATCCAGATGTAAAGCGACAACAAACATCTGAAATGTCCTTTTTCACAGTCGATAAAAGCCCGCAGATTGTGAATAATAGTCACAGAGCACCAACAGCTGACAATAATATCGTAGACCCATGGGAGAATTTCAAAGAAAACTAGTAGTTCGCTATGGGAAAAATTATTAAGAATCAATAGGTGAAACATGATTTTCTTCCCGAAAAGCTAAGAGCTTCAATCCTATCAGTTTTAGAAGTTTACAGATTCTATGGGATTATATATTTAAATAGTTATAATACCTTAGTTACCTCTTCATTGTGCATGGTTACATAAAATTGACACCATAGCTTATTTCTGCATACTCTAATCCGATTAAACCAAAAGCAGTAATCGGGGAAAAGACAGATTAGTATTTTGAGACGAAAGATAAACATGTATCCAGTTGTTCTACTTAACGCCAACATACGAAACATAATGGACAATCAACATTTCTAACGAAAATAGACACAACATTTAGGTTAAATTGAAAATGAGAACCAAAATAGGCTGACTCAATGTGTTGTGAGCTAAGAGCAGCAATTTTCTGAATGGCAAATATTTGACTCACCAAATGATAATTAGATATTTGTTATGTACCAGTATATACATAGACAAGATCCACCTGGAGAGAACATAGCTTTGATCCATCTAACAAATTAAAGGGTTAATCGGTTCAACATCCACTGATTCACTATGCTGACAAGGACAACCAGCCATGGATAATTAGTTAAATAACTAGACACTATTAAGTCGTGCTTGTTCATGCACCTGTTTACAATGATTTGAAATTTTTCTTTATTCTGCCAGTTTACACTACTTTTCTTTTTTAAATCAGTTGGCGTGATGCCTCACAATATTGTATGTGTGAAAACCATTGGTTATTCCAATGCTTACGAACAAAACAATTGTAAATTTTATATCTAATCATACTGATCTAATGCGAAGCTGGACTTTAAAAGAACTGAAAAACGTTTCAGTGTAGATTTACATTTACATCATGGTAAACAAAACAATATGAAGCCGATAAATTGTAATCTGAATAGACACTAGTGCGAAAAGAAACAAAAAATGATAAGCATGGTGACTAAGCACCAAGAGCATTTATGCTACGAAACAAAAACCGTGAAATATTAAAGAAAAATGTCAGAATTAAAGTTAAACTTGGTACTTGTTAATATCTGTCAGTGACGTAAAGTTATTTTAGAGAACATATACTTAGTGAGAGTTAACGTTTAGTGACTATCCCTCGACTCCATCCAATAATAAAAGTACTACTCATATGAATATTAATCGTGAGTTCTAAACGTAATACAAATGCAATATGCCCTGTAGAAAACAAAATAAAAACTATAGTTAGAAGACAAGCAAAATATACTAATGAATATCCAGTGCATATTTTAGTAACTACTATTATACGATGAAAAAATCAAAGTTATACGACGAGTGCTAACGAGACGGTAAAAACATAATTCTCACATTCACTAGGATTCATTCTAAAAAGTCCCGATTACAAATTCTCACTCCCGTAACAGTATCACTGCCTTCTGGTAAGGTAAAGAAATATGAATGCATGCTTTTAGGTTTCAATAGCGATGGAGTTGTGTTATATGTGGTGAGGTTGCTAATGCCACCTGGACTGTGGACAATGCCAACGGCAAAGAAATTTAGCAAATAATTCAACACTAGTCCACGTGCGTTAAACATTTAGAGGTTTCTTTTAACAGGTATACGATGACATTGCATGCCAAATAATTCACAATGGAAAATTTACTGAAGCGCTTGAGGTGAAGACAAGGGTAAAAAAGGCTGTCTACTATAAACGACGACCTTACTGATTGTGGGGGAAAAGGACCATGGGAAGGACAAACGGAAACCAAGAACTTAATAGGAGAGACAGAACTTCAGGTGTGGTTGATGCAGAGACCTGGCCAACAACAAGAACACCAACAGGGGGGAATACAGAAGTCCTCGTTCGGCACTGAAGATCACATAACCGGCCAAGAAGGGTGAACGATAAGGAACTCTAACAGTCAGAGAACTAGCCAAGAAACTGTTGCCCGAAAATGGAGTTGAAGACCGACTGAGGAGACATTTAAGTAACATCACACGACAGATCTTTGACTGGAAACCGAATAAGATCATTGGTAGAAGTTATTATTGCCGGATTATATTTAATAACCTACTACATAACACTTAGATGATGCCCTCATATTTAAAATGTCATTTGATTGAATTAGACTGCACTACAGTTTCACAGAAACGATTAATCATGAAATGGGTATGAAAGCATGAATTTATCAACACCACAACTACTGCATGTGACAAATTAACCGATTCAAAGTTGACTGTACAATCCATTCTGTACGAACTTATTCAGATAGCGCGAAGTTACATTAAGAAGACTGGTCAGAATTCGACTGGATTTGTGGGTGATTATATGCATGAAAACAAACATCATTTAGTAAAGTAGAAAAAAAGCAACTTCAATGCAGGAGATTCGATGACGCTTGGAACAATAAGATTTAAATACACGAGAATATGTGATAACTGTTCGAGTCGTATTATTATTACTATTCCCTTAGATTCCATGTGGAACAAAGGGATTCAACAACACATCTCCACTTTCCTCTATAGTCTGCCATCCTGTTCAACTGGGTCCACGATTATCCATAGTCTCTCATCTCCTCCTCAGCACCCTTGCTCCGAAGACCCACTCGTCGCTTTCTATTGGGATTCCACCCGAAGGCCTGGTGCGCGATGTCATCTGGCGACCTCTTTAATGTTTGCCCGATCCACCTCCATATTCTCCTACATATCTGTGAAGCAATAAATTCTTGATTGGTTTTACGCCAGAGCTTCCTGTTGCTAATTCTTTCTATACAAATCGACGTCTTTAAAAATTATTGCATATTCTACAAAAGTATACTGCATATCAATCACACTACCACCTTAAACTTCGTTGAAATACCTGGGGGATGTTGTGTATAGTAAATAAAAATAGGGTAATGCAACTGTCCAACAAATAACTC